ATAATCGCATTATGTGCTGCCTACAGAGTGCAACTACAATACCAACAGTCCGGTGTGTGTTGCAATGGGCGGCCGCATTAAGTGATAGACAGAGCTGTATTAAGTGTTCACTCGCAGCTGTTGAGCCCGAGCGAAAAAAACTGATCGGCTGACTGAAATATATATTTAACGTGTCAGTTTCAAGGCTTCGTCGTGGCGGGAATGGATCAGTGGCAAGAGCGGCCACAGCGCCGGGGAAGTCACTCATTACTGGCCGCTGCTACTCTGTATCTGTGCCAGCGATTGCAATCTGACCGCCGATTGCCAGCGGATGTTGGCGATCGGGTGGCGGTAAATGTTAATCCAGCGCGCACAACGGAAGAGACAACGCGATGAGGCCATCATCCGCTGCACGGCTTGCACCGCCCGGAGTAGCACAGCGGACGATGAAAGCAAACACGGCAGTTTATTTGAGTGAGTTGAAGTGGCCGTAGCGTCATTTCTATATCGGCTGAATTTTCTACATGTTGTCGTTCTTTCTGCAGTGTTCGATTGACGCGGAGTATCGCCTAAACCGGTCTCTCGTTTTCACAGCAGCATAAGCAGCCGGAAGTGGAGACTTTATCTCTGTTAGCATATCGCCAGTGTGTATAATAATTATATTTGTGCTGATGCTTCGGGCCAGCGTTGAATGTATTGACATTGCCGCGGGAATGTTTATTTAAACGTGATAAACACTTTGGAATAGCGACAGTGCGGAGTATCTTCGGTAATAATTTTCTGTCCTGCATTGTTATTGAACGAAGCTGGATTTCCTGCGCAGCCACCTGTTTACTGAGCGCCCGCGCCGCACCGGCACCGCGCAGCTGTAGCTGGGAGGCGAGTCCAGCATCGCCGCCATCGGACGCCAGCTCCTCGAAGTCGGGCTCTGCTGGCTTTAATTTTCTGCGACTTATTTTTCTAATAGAAGTTCCAGCCGTTTCTGAAGTGCAGTAATGTCTGCTCTGGCTTCACGCTCCGCGAATGTGGTCTTTTACTTTAATTTTTAATACTTGGTTCAGGCCATAAGGCATACCGTCAACTGGAAATTTTATTGTAGTTGTGTTGGGCGGGGGCCCAACACAACTAAAATAAAATGTCCAGTTGACGGAATCCCTCCGCCGTCAGTGACGTGGAAGAAGGACGGATGCATCGTCAACATGGTAAGTCTGTCTCGCGCATTGAAATTATGACAATAACTCTGGTGTGCTCATAGAGCAACTGATTTATTAATACCACTAATAATTAAGGACAATGGCCCGGGACATAGCGTCAAAAATGGGATACATACACTAAAACGTTCGCTTTCGCGCATTCCGAATCACTTTTTTTAAAATACTTTATATCATACTAAAGCTAAATGATTTGTATACATTGTTCTGAAAACCGTTTGCGCGCGCAATATCCGGTTGTCGAGATATCACGCTAAGTGCACTTTACGAGTGTCCAGAAATCAGAAGTGTAATGGCACATATACTGGAATCGGAAACAGCGCAACTTCGACATTTATTACAGAAGTGGAGAACGCTGGCTCTTCTTCTCATCAGTACGCAATGAGTTTTCGATTAATTAATTTTCAATAATTATTCTTGAAAATTAATATGCAGATTAATTAAAAGATAGCGTGTGATCGTGAATGAGATCGCATTATCGAAAGCGATCCCACGGCGTGTCATTTGCTCTAGCATTGCATTTGCTGGTTTTATAACTTCCGAGTCCGTAAATCTGCCTACTATTACGATAATGCACGACTAGGAATCGCGAACGCCATCGTGAATTTCAAGACTCACTCTTAATAGTAAATTTACCGTTCATGCTCGTCCGTAGAAACAGGCCCTGATGTAATTTATTTTTTCGTTTACGTTTTGCATTTAGGTAAATACAATTTATCCGACCCCTTCCGATTAGTCATCGGGAATGCGACGCTAAACGATGCGGGTATCTACGGATGCATCGCAGAAACTTCTGAAGGAATTGACAGACAACATGCTTATCTGCTGGTCCAGCCAGGTAAAGTTATAAGTTTTACTGTTTTTGCGGCCCGAGCTGTCATTGTAGCAAGAAAACAAGCATTCTGGCTAATAACGCTATATTATGCAAGCAGGGGTCAGTGGGCACTTATATGAGACACAGTATGCACTGCACGACTGAGTGCACGTTTATCAGCGCGCGTTTATATGAGACAAAACGAAGTACTTTTCATTTACATTTTTTGAAAGTGACGGCATCGGCATTTCAACACGCAGCGCATCCGTCGCTGTCGGTCGTGCTATTACGACGGTTTTTATTGTGTGCTCAGCGATTTTCTCCTGTATAGAAACTGGACAATAAAAATACAGTCTTTAAGGCCTATTTTGACTCGGGCTTAAGATCGTCACATCCCGCGAAACTGAGCTATTTCCGCGAGTATAGATGCATTCATACTCGTATCTCCGTCACAGTTACCGTCACTGACCGTGAGGTGTGAAGTATAACCACACACACATCACCTTTCCGTAAGTTAGTTTCATCAAGGTTACGTTCGTCGAAATCTGGCCTTTCGTCAAATTTTGGAAATAGAACTAGTTCTATTTTTTAAACTTCACGATCGTGACGTTCTGCATGTTTACCGTATATAAGCACACAAAACACTGCGTAGGTTATTGTTAGCGCACTTTCTGGCACAAATGTACTTTATTGCCTACAAAAACTTGAAAGACTGCTTTCTAAAATTATTAATAATAATTTCCATTTCGCGTGCAGCTGCACATTGATTTTTTCAACATCCTAATTCTGGGACACACGCACGGATGAAACGTCGATCTACAGAGTTCCCGTGGCATGTTTTACGCAAGAGAAAAAAATCGTGGCATGTTTTCCATGATTAACTGTACGAGATTAACTCGTACTGTGCTTGTTAGAGATACAAAACTAGCTTCGCCGTTTCTTTAGCCAACATCTCTTCCTACACCAATCGACACTTATTTTTTCACTTTTGCTTAAAAAACGCCTGAATCAGTGTAGTTTGTGGCAACGACTTTCGTCTTCTACAAAGAAATAAAAAAAAATAATTATATTATTTTTCGTTGAATTTCTACCGAATCTGGCAGGAAAATCGTGCGTCGGCTTCGCGCGAAAACCCAACTTTTCTCCTAATTCTGCTTTGATATTAGCATCGGATTCGGTTTTGGAACTTTTGCTAGCTTGAAATAATTTGATCAGACTCGAAATCATTCCATACTAGTAGACCCCGCGCAAACTGCGCTGATAATTGCAAAACCTCCTGCGCTTGATTAAAACAGTACTCCTAACCCTGTAATCCAGAAAAGCAAACAGTTTTAAAGAACTGCTGGATTTAATTTAGTGCAACTTATATTTCTTATAAAAGTTCCAGTGGTTTCCGAAGTACAGTAATGTCTGCTTGGCTACTCTGGCTCGCGCTCCGCGCGCGCGAATGTGGCCTTTTACTTTAATTCTCAATACTTGGTTCAGGCCATAAGGCTACCTGCACTGCTTTTGACCCGGCATCTTTCATTAAAAATTTTTTTTTGTGTCTAGGAAAATCTTGTTGCAGACCCTCCCTCCTGAGGCGCACCTGGGGGCACCCCCCAGGGGTTTCGGTGGGAGTGTGTAGATTTTAGCCTAGGTTTTTCTAAGTAACTTTTTATTTCATAGTTTAAGCTAACACTTATTTTGACTTTTAAGATGACAAGTGAGTTCTCAGGTGCTTTAAAAACTGAAATAAAACATAGTTGTCGCGCTGGTCTCATACGGGCCAAGGCGGAAGTAAAACAATACCGTAGGTTATATTGTATAGAATAGCCGAAAGGTTACATCCTGGTAGAAATTACATGACGAATTGCATGACCTTGCCTATTATGTAGAATCACATAACATGATTACTCATGTTACCTTAGCTAGTGATAGATTTTACTATTTGGCCTCTGCCAGGATATCGTGTATGCATCTTTTATGATGATGTTGCACATAGTCATATACAGAATAGTAATACAATATACCTAGTGCAGCATTTGACGTAAACGGATAGGCACTGTTGCGCTGCACTGTAATACATTTTGCTTGTTGCCAATAAATGACAAACTGACAAACTGACAAAATGAAATGACAAAATGACATCCTGCCCGGAAAGCGTACCGATCGTTAAACACATGTGGGGCATGACATACCTGCTTTTAACGATCGATGCGCATTCCGGTCTCTCATAACAGACTTGCAAGGTAGGGCTGATTTTTGATTTAAAATCAGTCTTACCTTGCGTGGGCGGCTTCTCCTAAATGACATCTTATTTAACAGATTCACAGCTTGACGTCATTGGATACCAGTAGTAAGGCAATAGGTCTGGCAGGGACACGTGATTGGTCAGACACGCCCCCTTCTCTGATTGGTCAGACACGCCCCCTTCTCTGATTGGTCAGACACGCCCCCTTCTCTGATTGGTCAGACACACCCCTTCTCTGATTGGTCAGACACGCCCCCTTCTCTGATTGGTCAGACACGCCCCCTTCTCTGATTGGTCAGACATGCCCCCTTCTCTGATTGATTGACTCCGCCCTTTAAGCCGAGACTGAGCCGAGAGTGCATCATTGAATCAGGCCAATTATTTACGGTAATCACATTTTTTGTTATCCAAATAACAACCAGCGAAATTTCCCCAGGAGTTTTCCAATGGTACCGAAAAGTTTCGCTTAAGCGTCCAATATAAAATGTTTTCTGAAAAACAGTTTACCAAGACGACAAAGTCATAGGCCGTGTTGATCAATACTCACAACCACACCAACATGAAAACGAAGTTTCTTGCTAGTGAGTTGCGAGGATTGGGCTGTTTTAGCCTCTTTTCGTAACAACAGTTGCTAACAAAAAAAAAGATGTTTATTTTTATAGATAAAGCCTGCGGATGAAACAGTAAGAAACATTAAAACAGTTCGCGGCTGTTAACTTGCTACTCCAATAATAAAAGTTGTATGTGAATAAAGCAATTTTGCTTATTGCTTAGTACCAAAAGGTAGCGTTGTGAAGTCGGGAAGCAACATACGCTTGTCATAAACCATTCTCAACTTCTTAAACAAACAAACGGTATTAATTTCTTGTGTTTTGCCATTCCGTTTGATGAATTCAGGATAAATAATTTGAACATGGGATTCTGTTCCGTCCAACAGGCGCTTCAGTTGGTCGAAGTCCAAGGTCTGTCCGGTCCGGGCGAAGGTCTTGGTGATTTCATTAAAATCCAGAATATCTTCCGTGTACCCGTTTTGGGTAAGGCCTTTTGCCTAAGGACAATGAATAATATATATTTATATATATATAGATTGTACATACATAATTACTTTACGTTTACCTACCTTTAACTCGATCCGACCAGTGTCAGTCTCGTAGCTGTACACCTTTAGGCCGCACGACACGAACTTCACGATGTGGCTCTCCCCGGACTGCAACTGGTTGTCCCAGTCGCCCAGGATACTGCCCGTCTCCGGCACCCAGTCCCCAGGGCGAGTGAGAAAGACGACCGAATCAGTATCATAGTACAGGAGGCGATCGCCCAGCTTTTCCATCATGTCCAGTAGGATTAGGCGAGCATTGGCGGTGGTGAAGGCGGCCAGGGCAACGTTTGTAGCGCTACTACCTTCGTTGTAGTCTTCTCCCTTCGAATACGTCACCATGAGACAGTCCTCGTTGATGGCAAAAACATCATGAATTTCAACGGCCTTGGAACGGATCATGTCCAAATAATCCTTGGTTTTGTAGACGAACTTGGTCATAGTCATATCATCCCGCTGTCCTTGCTTGCCCCACAAATAGTTTAGACAGTTCTTGGCCACATTACGGCGCCCAGCATCGTAGATCATGGCTTCCGAATCAAGGTCAATCCCCTCACGCTCTTTGACCTGGCGGATGAAGTCATCTTTCTGTTGGGAGTTTTACACCAGCTAGGCCATCCCCTGGCCTCCATCTTGATTTTCAGAAACTTGTTGATGTACGCAGCATAAACACCGGCTACCAAGGTATCCCAGTGCCATACCTCGCACACTTCCTGCACGGTGTATCCCCTATCGATGGCGTGATGGAGCTCCGGGGTGGTCCATACACCTTCGAGGCAGCGGTCAGCGTCGCAATGCTGGCAATAGTAGTTACTTTTGGTGTCCGCACAGGTCCGACAAAGCGTAAATACCAGCTTCTTGTTGATAGTAGCAGGGAGAACAGGGTACAAACACTGCGCCGGGGGTAGTACCTTACAGGAAACCAAGCCATAATATTCCTTCACGTCCTTAAAATTCGACAAAACAATGGCGGGGTGACCGATGGGGTAGGTCTTGGTCTTATTAACGAAAGGGTACAGGCTAACAACGTCGAAGTGCATAATCATTTCCCCCGGCTTCACTGCGTAGTACAAGCGACTGGCATTGGTACGCCCGCCTTTAAAGGCGTCCCGGGGATTCAGGGGTTCGCGAAGGTTTTGGCCAGACAGGAAAGTAGCGATATCGGCTTCCTGACGCTCGCTCTTCCAATCGCACTCCCACTTGGTAACTACTGTATACTTCTCATCCTCCAGGTATCGTACACGGTCCAGGTATTCCTCGTACACCTCACTCATCTTTTTACGAGAGAATGGTGACCGATCATCTTGTTCGGTGCATTCGGGGTGCCCGTGGAATACACAACCGTTGTACTCGTAAACTGTACGAGTACTAGCATCCAAACCGTCCACAAAGTACGGTCCGATGTGGACTTCCTTGCCGTTTCGTCCGTGCTGAATACGCCCACTCAGGTCTCGATTCAGCAACTCCAACCATTGCGTGGCTTGAACGCTGGTGCGTCGGTTGCGGTGAGGTCCATGGGAGGACAATACAGCCAACTTTTCGGGTGCCAGATGGAACGTGCGATAATACTTATTGCAGGCGGATGACATAGTGATACTGTCCAGCGGGTTCAGATTAGTCAGAGCGACAAAGTCATCAACGAACTTCAAGGCACAACGTCGGAGCACAGTGACGTCGTTCGAGCAATAGGTCATGATTTCATCGCGGAAGTCGAACTGTCCACCCGCAGCAGCTTTTGCTTCTGCGTGCCACTTTAAAAATTCCTCTTTCTCTTTCTTCTTCAGGCCGTCAAAAACGTACATTTCCGGTTCGGGCCAAGGCAGCACTTTATCCCAGTTTTCAGGTCTATTGAAGTGGTGAGGGAAGTCGCCTTTCTTGACCTCCACTTCCAAACCAACCGCTTTCGGCAAACTGCTGAGTTTCATCGGCATGAAATTTAACGTGTCACGGGAACACATATGCAAGGATCGATAGCGCAGCTCCAGAAGCTGGGTTCCCCTCTTGATAACTTCCACACCGCGCAGTTTATTATCCAAAAGGTGTTTCAAAAGGAAATGACCGTCATATCCCCGGAAGTTATGAGCAATAATCGTGTAGTGATTGTGTTGCTCCGAAAAAAGCCATTCCCCAAACATCTGCCCGACATCCTTGGTCATTGGTTGACCGTCCGCCGGAAATCGAAATTCCGTACCGTCTTCGTACTGAGCCACAACACAACTTGGAGTATGTCCATTGACCGGATCGTTGTACGTCTCATAATCGAAGAAAATGCATCGCTTTGGTCGCTCTGGTTGATCCGGTGATGGTGGTAATGGTTTTGGAAAGGTTTTGATGTAACACTTATGCGTGGCCTGCTGGACCCACTCGCGGCAAACCGTGCAAAACATCTCCCCACACTTGTGCTTTTCATTTGGGCGGCGTGTTAAGTTCACAAAGCGGCGGCAGTCTTTACAGTAAAAAATCTGGGAGCAATAGGTTTTTCCATTGCGGCGATCAGCCGTGTGGATGTTAAAGCATTCCTGGTTGTTGAAGGTACGCCTGCAGTCGCCACAGTAAACAACGGACCCCTCGACGCAGTCATTTACTGACCGATAACAAAAGCGACAGTTTCCACCGCATCGGTGCCGCTCCTTGTGGCTGTACGGCTTATCACACTCTGAGCAGAAGTATGATGAGTTGAAAATACCGGTGACAGTAGTTACGAGGTCAAAGTGATTCTTCTCCAACAAGACAAACATTTCTTTCATATCCTTTGTTTTTTTCTCTGGTACGCGGGCGATAATGGTATTGCCGTGATCCGCCGAAATAACTTTAACTTGGAATTCGGGAAAGCATTCTTCCTGGATGGCACTCAGGTCGTTAAGGTCATAACACCGTCCCAACGGTAAATCAGTCAGCTGGATGATCTCTCGGGCATGGCCTGTCAGCTTAGTGACTCCATCCTTGCTGTACAGGTGCTTCCACTGGCTTTTGTACGTTTCTTTAACATCGTGGGTCAGACGGTACTTGCCCAAGAACAATGCAGCTGGGAGGCAATAGTTGTTATCCACGCGAACAGTAACTATAGACTTGCTGAAACGTTTTGCGTCCCGCGCCACGTGACGATGTAGAAATCTCCAGTTCCCCCCGCTTGGTATGATAGTGCGAAAAATGCGGATCGAGCAGGTATCGTCCAGCACCATCCGCCCGGAGTTGGCCTTGGTACAGACAGCAACAAGGTCGTCGACACTGAAGTCCGACAATTTTCGCATAGACAAGTAAATTGGGAATTCCAGCGACGCACAGCTAATGGAAATGGTAACACGATCCGGCGGTTGAAACTGAGTCACGCATAGATTCAATATGGATTCCAGCAGCAAAGGCAGAAGCAAGACAGTTTCTTCCTGGGAATAAATACGCGGCAGTGTGGCGATTTCCACACGGTACTCGTACTCGGTGCTGTTGAATTTCTTGAATTGGCGCTCTTTGTTCTCAGTCAGGCTGAATAGAGCTGAGAAATCCGGAATATCGCTAATTTCTTCAAGCGTCTACAGATATATAATATGTATTACAAGAAGAACGACTTATTAATTGCGAAAGAAAAATACTAGAACAATTAAAATAATAGTGAGCTGCATATTACTTAAATTTTTTTATAATTGTTGTACAAAACCGACTTGTTTGTTTTGCGAAAACAACTAATTGTAACAAAATAATTTTTCGGCTTTATTGAGCAAACGTCGTTTAATTTAATGTTTTGTTAGCTTACCAGTGGCTTTCCCGAAACTACGTCTGGAATATCAATGTCCATGGCTCCATCCGTCGCTTTCCCCGCGCCTCCCTGATCAGCGTTCCTTAACACCTATATCGTTGAAACTTGGTAAGTTCTCAGTATTTTGTGTTATTCAAGTAATGTTTTAACTGACACAGATGTCTATACACAAGATGGTGCTCAACTAAACAACTTTTATTTTAATTAGGTCAAAAGTCTGACTGGTGTGGAAGACTATTGTTCTAACTAGGACAGATCCGTATTCACAATAATACCGTGTCCATCAAAACAAACCATTGTTCTAAGTAGGTCAAAAGACTGACTGGCGTCGAAGACTATTGCTCTAACTAGGACAGATCCGTATTCACAATACAGTATCGCCCATAACAAACTATTGTTCTAAGTAGGTCAAAAGACTGACTGGCGTCGAAGACTATTGCTCTAACTAGGACAGATCCGTATTCACAATAATACCGTGTCCATCAAAACAAACCATTGTTCTAAGTAGGTCAAAAGACTGACTGGCGTCGAAGACTATTGCTCTAACTAGGACAGATCCGTATTCACAAAACAGTATCGCCCATAACAAACTATTGTTCTAAGTAGGTCAAAAGACTGACTGGCGTCGAAGACTATTGCTCTAACTAGGACAGATCCGTATTCACAATAATACCGTGTCCATCAAAACAAACCATTGTTCTAAGTAGGTCAAAAGACTGACTGGCGTCGAAGACTATTGCTCTAACTAGGACAGATCCGTATTCACAATAATACCGTGTCCATCAAAACAAACCATTGTTCTAAGTAGGTCAAAGACTGACTGGCGTCGAAGACTATTGCTCTAACTAGGACAGATCCGTATTCACAAAACAGTATCGCCCATAACAAACTATTGTTCTAAGTAGGTCAAAAGACTGACTGGCGTCGAAGACTATTGCTCTAACTAGGACAGATCCGTATTCACAATAATACCGTGTCCATCAAAACAAACCATTGTTCTAAGTAGGTCAAAAGACTGACTGGCGTCGAAGACTATTGCTCTAACTAGGACAGATCCGTATTCACAATACAGTATCGCCCATAACAAACTATTGTTCTAAGTAGGTCGAATGACTGACTGGCATCGATGATTACTGTTATCAATAGATGAATCAGTATTCTTGGTATCGGCCACAACAGATTATACTATTCTGGAAAGGTCAGTCACGTATAAAGCGAAAGACTGCTGATTATTAAAAACAATAGCTTGATAGTTAATTATTTACCAGGAGGCAGTGTATCAGCTTACTGATATTTATATATGTTATTATTATTTTGAACTTTTTTTTTGCATTTGTTTTCAGCAAATGCTTGTTCCAAGTGGAAAAATGTAAATCATTATCGAATTTGCAAATAATTTAAATAATTTAACTATCTTAAATATTTAGCAAGCTACAGTCTACCAGAAGGTTTTTATTCCAACATTCTAAATGTATCGAACGACCGCCTTTTTTTTGTCGATGATTATAATTTTATTCGAAGTCTTTATCGCATAGACAACCGCTGACTGGTGGTAAAAAATGGTTTCCTCCTAGTTTTTATTTGTCAAAAAATCTTTACTTTGAAATAGAGGTATTAAAATTTAGAGTAGTTATTAGTTACGATGGTTTCAGAAAAAAGAAATCCAGATAAGCCAGTGTTGAAATTTAAACTATTTTTTAACAAAAAACTATTCTTATCTTCAAGGGTCACTCACCCAGTCATCCCAATCACCAGTCGCAAGTATGGCATCGGTATCCTGACGATCCACATCGGTGATAACGTACGGTGGCGATGGTGGCAGATTCCATGACCCTTCGTCGAAAATAGCATCAGTGTCCATACGATCAACATCCGTAAGCTGATAGTCGTCCATGATGAGCGTCCAAAAATAAGCTTCAACTGCAAGTCAGCCTCAGCGACACACGGCTTTTAAATAATTTTGATCGCCAGCTGGACTGGCGATTGACCTAGTTTGTGTCTAGTCTCATTCAGCTGGACTGGCGATTGACCTAGTTTGTGTCTAGTCTCATTCAGCTGGACTGGCGATTGACCTAGTTTGTGTCTGGTCTCATGTATTGAAACTGTCGATAACCACCTACTATTCGTGGCTATTGCTCGCCACACATGTTTAAACATGTACGCATTTTACCCCCTTTCTTTTGTTAATTTTTCCCCACCCCTTTCTCTTTATTGGTTGTTTCATAGCATTTAATTTAACAAATAAAAATTGTATTCCACTCCCAGACACGAGTGCGACAAATAGGACAATGATACATACGCGTGGAACATGCATCGCAACAGGCTGCATGACCACAAGGTTGAAAAGCACATTTTATATCAGCATTCAAACAAAAAGTACACTGCGGCTTTTCTGAAGTCTCTTTACGCTCAGCGTAGACGACAGCCGCCGCGGTGGCCACTTGTTCCGATTTGGCAACGGCTTTGGCGATGACTTCCTCGGCATAGTTTAAACCTTTCTCCTGTTTTACGAAGCTGCAGTTGTACAGCCCAATACCATGACGTGCGTGTTCTTCCCATGGAATATCCTCCACCTGCCAGTTTTCCAGAGAAATGTTACAAGAAAAACACTGGACCCGATCCTTTGGTCCAGTAAAAAAGAAGCCCGCTTCGGCCATTTCTCGCGGTTGTTGCTTGTATGTCCAGTTGTAAAATGTAGCGAATCTTGCTTTAACATCCGCCATCGGGGAGTATGACAAACATCCTACTCTGGGGCAAGCGGTTGATTCTATGTCGTGTCGCAGTACAAGGTTGTCATCCCCTTCCCAGTCACGCGCAGTCCACGCACAATTTGCACAACCGACTTCATCGGGAAACTGCTTAAAGAACAGTCCGGCAAGTACCAGCCTGGATGGAGCCGTCAAAGGCCATGGCCAACTGACAAAAGAACGAACACGGTTTTCAACAATTGTCATATCTGGTCGCGCCATTTTGGTGGAATGAAGTTTATTGCACGCTTCGCGAACGTTAAGTACTGTCGCCATCGCCAGTTGGTACTGGCGGTGAGTCATCACTCATCATTACATCTAGTACATTCTTTGTAAGCTGGGTGGATTCCGTTATTCGCGTAACGTTGGGTTTAGCGAAGTGACCACATATTTCTAAAATATTAAAAATCAATAATAATATAGTGATGAAAATTCCAAAAATAATGGAAATTATCTCTTTGATTGTAGGTTTATCCATGATTTATTAGTGATTTCATGAATTCGTTGTCTCTCAGTTTTGTGCTCATGCGGAAGAATTTATTGATAAATTTACATACAAATTTGTCATTCACCTCTTTATGCTTGGTGAATGCCGACATCAGGTCTTTATAAGAAAAACCGTAACACCGCAATAATACGAAAAACATGCAGTACTGCCCGCATACGGTACTGTCAATGTTCTGCCTTGTAGTATTGGACATAATGAGGTAATCATCGCCCATCCATTCTGCAATATCCGACGAATAATCCGCAGGGTTTCGACCATACGAATCAAACGCTTCTAGTGTGTCTCGACGAACGCAGAAGAAAGCCACCCAGTGCTCCCCGGGACTCCCCGTTTTTTGTGTGTTTACTATATATGCACCAGGATATTGTTTTTCTGGTATGTTATCACTAGAAAAAACCCCGACAAAAATGTCGCGAATTTTGGGATCTGAAAAAAGGGATTTTTCAATTTCTAAATTATTCATGGCGCAAAATCAAAGAGTACCTGTCTGTTATTGTTTATTTCAATAATATTATCGTAAACCAGCATTGCAATGCATACAGCTGCTTCTGGTAATGGCTTGGCAAAACGCATGCTCATATTTAAATTACCTTGCCGTATGAGCGACAGAGCCCCACGCCCTGTATGACCTCTCGTAAAATCAAAGCCATAAATACAGAATCCGCCTAAATTATAATCAGATCTATCAAACGGCAGCTCACCAAAACCTTCGTGAAGGCGCTCCAGTGTATCAAAAAGACCTTCGTACGGCTCTATACTTGCCCCGTTTTCATAATCCATATTATATCCCCGAGTTGGAAATATTTGCCCGTCTATTTCTGCATGCAAATACGCCAAACTAAAATGATTGAAGACAAACGGGGTTGAAGTATATTCTCCATTGAACGCCCTACTCGGGATCATAGCAAAGAACATAACCTTGGGTAATTGACCAATAACAAGATTAGGCCAAGTATGTTGTTGCTGTCCGGCAAACAGAGTAGTTTGCCGCATGGCAACACGTTCAATGTGGTACTTTGCATTTGTCGAAACTAGCTGCTTAGTTAAAGCCCCTAGAAAATCGGGCGACGGCTCGTATTTTCTAATTTTTAAACGAGGATTTTTGATAATGACAGATTTTGGTTTTGATAAATCGCTGTCCGTCATAAAGACCAGACTATTTTTATTACGTACTAATTTAATACTCAACTCGACACCCAGTATCAGGGGTTTGTCCTGTTGAAACAGATCACAATGCAGCTTTCCAGATAATTGCAATGGGCGGCAAGCCCGTAGCCACATTCGTCTAAGCTCTGCCCCTTTGCTAAAAAAGATCTTTTCATTGTTAACTTTGGCTTCGTAATATGGATCTTGCTTCCACAGTAACGTATCCATGGCAAAACCAGACAACTGTAATTGTGAAGCCTGCGCGCGCTTAGTGTAGCCTAGAAGATTCTCAATGTACCCCCGCATATGGTACATGGAGCTGCTGTCAGAAATATTGCGACCACCCAGGTTGACAATTACCTGTTCAAATAAACTATCCAAAATATTATTTACGGTTGTCAAGCAGGCATCATCCGTGAGCATGTCCCCTTTAGAGTCAGTTACGTACAGATCACAAGAAAATCGAACATCCGCCAAACTAATAAGTTCAGTTTGACACGGCGCAATGGTAAAAACATAATCGTTAGATGTGTCCGACGGGGCTTGTGTTGGCCCGATATCATGATCACGCGTATTCCACCTTTCGGTAAGAGTCGCCGGAAGACAAAATAAATGGCTCTCTAGGAGCATAGAAGGTTCGGAACCGCTTTCAATAAGAGCCATTATAGTTTGTCTTTAAGTGCGTCAATTGCAAGTTGTCGCTTTGTAAGGACTACTTTGCGTCGTTTTCGACCCTTAATACCCGATCCCTGCTGTTGTTTCAGCTTGTCACTAACATGCTCGACGGCCTTGTCAATTGCCGACTCGACAGCTTTATGGGCCATATTTTTCATATGAGGCTGAGCCTTTGTTATCAAACTACTTATATGAGGTGCGGCTTTGCTGAAAATTCCTTTAGCAAAACCGATAACTTTCCCCCAAAACCCCGCACCGGTCATGGGGGCGCCGCGGTATACCGGCATACCAAACCCATGTTGTCGGCTAAAAGCTTGCAAATAACGATTTTCATCAAATTTGTGCTCTTGAAGTACCATTTTTCAGCGTTTTTTGGGTCGAAAATGTAACTTTATTATCGTGGTGCCGGGATGAAACGATACTTCTGTCCCTAAATCATCTGCGAGTTTTAATTCGATGGTTTGAAAGGTGTGTTTGGCAAGTGGCACATAATGCGGATTTTCGTAAATTAATGTAGTCTCGGTATAGGAACTGGCGACGGTAGCGATCGTTCGTAGCAACGGTACCATTGCATCACCGACAAACCCGTGCTCAATAATGTCACAATAAACGTGAACGATACGACTCTGTATGCCCGGCCGTAACTGGTACGTCTGTCCGCCGGCACCGGCATAAGAGTGCTCTTGCAATAAACCCAGCGCCCTCGTGTACTCTGATCCTTGAAACGTGAGCTCGGCATCGGGATTTACCACCAGTTGTGTAGAGCTACCGGCCACGTCAATGTGTCCAAAGATGGTGTCCTTATCACGCAGCAGAAAGTTTATTTTCCGAATCAGTTGATTTTCGTCGTTGTATGAGTCCTTGTTTAGATCCCGATTGTGTCTCGGGGTAGTCGTGGTTTTAACAAGCACTGTCAAACCCTCAGTAAACCTGAGGCGCATTGGTGGTAAAATTATTTCGGAAAGACCGACTTCCCAGCTTCCATCAAGATCAATACCTTTGGCTAGCAAAGTTGTAAATTTCCCACAACGATTTTCGGAATAAACGTTGTGAGATGCGGAAGACGGTAGTGTCATATAAAAACTCATTTTAGATCTTCTTTGTTTTCCCAAGAGTCGTAAGCAGGGCCGTAACCGTACCACCGTATTAGGTATTGCTGTTTTCCCTTGTACGTTCTCTCCCTTAATATGCGTGATATACGATGAAACGGTCGGTCGGTCATAATAAATTTTGACAGTTCGCTGGTATAAAAGTCTCCATCAATTTTTTCGCCACCCAAGTCCTCCAAAGCATAAATATAATGGTTTTGCCGTTTCTTAACTTGTACAATTTTAAAAATTTCTTCAGTGTAATTGGTTTCGTATCCTTTTTCGAATGTTTGCTTTCTCTTGGCAATCCGCACTTGATCCCCAACTTGAAACAAAGGTTTTTTTGCCTGTGGCTCATCTACCATATCCTGGCGTATGATGCGCGCTTCATCCACATCCACTTGGCTGGGGGCAAACCCTATACTAGAGTGAACAGAATTATTATACGATTTTAAAATATTAGGTAAAACATCGAGGTACTTGTAAGTATTATTCTCTGTCATGTACACGTAAAGACGTTCCTTAATTGTTCGGTTAAAGCGTTCTACCATGGCACATTTGACATCGTCGTTTTTTGTTGTGAAAAATCTAATGTTGTGATCAGTAAAAAAATTTTTCAGTTGTTTATTCACAAATTCCTTACCGTTATCGCTTTGACAGCGCAATGGTCGATCGGATTCCTCATATATATTACACAGACCACGAATAATTTCTTCGGGTTTCTTGGATTTGACGGGCTCGGCCCAACCGTAGCGAGAAAAACAATCGACGCAAGTTAGTAAATACTTGACATCTTTATTGTCATTCGCAAATTTTGCATATCTGCCAAGTCAATTTGGTGCTGGTCACCGATGTTAAATGATAAAATCTTTCGACGTTTAAATTTTGACCGAAAGGGTTTATGTTGAGTATAAGCGTCTTTGCTTTGTAAATACTCTTCCACTTGCTGACGCGAAAATCCGTGATTTTGCGCTTCCCGGTATAAACGCTCGATGCCGCCCAGACTACCAGGATTAGAAGCATCTAAATAAATATCGTCCAGTGTTGCCATTATGCGTAGCTGAGCAAACCACCCTTCTGTGTTTTTTGCTTCTTTTTAGGTGGACCAGTAGATTTTGTGGTTTTACGCCTTAATAAGTCATCATAGCGCTTTTCAACGCCATTCTTGATGGTGCGTGTTTCTGCTGGTTCTGTATACGTCAGTGCTTTGGGTGTCGGAGCCGCTGGTAAGGCCTTTGAAGTTGATGGGGCGGGTAAAGCTTTTAAATTTTCCGGTGCGGGTAAGGCCTGGGAAGTCGAAGGGGCCGGTAAAGCCTCCAACTGCGGTACCCTGGGTGTAATCGCTTTCCTATCGGGAACCTTATAAGGAGCCGCTTTTCTGCTGCGTGTAATTGGACCAGAGTTTCGCGGTGCCACCACAACGTCGATCCTGTCTGTAGGTAGCGATACGGGAAGTGGCTCGTATTCGGGAGGCACATATTCTAAGGACCCATCATCAGGAAACTCTACGATGGGCGAGGATGCAGTTCGTAGTTTTTTTCTTGGTTTCTGCCCTTTGGATATTGGCTTGGGGCGTGGGCGTTTGTAAACATGTTTTACCAGTGTTTCTCTAGGTACGTACTGTGGTACGTATTTTACAACTGGATCACGTTCGATATACTGCACAACGGGATCGCGCTCGATATACTGAACAATAGGTTCACTTTGGATATATACCGGCTCACTTGGTAGATACTGAACGATCGGGGGTTCAGTAGCTTGTGTAGATTCATCAGCAAGTAAGGGCGCAGCTTGAGTACCATAGTTTCTGTGCAAAGGAATATTTGGTATGTGTTCGTTCAATTTCATGACCCGTGGTTCATGGTCGGGAGGCTTAGTCTGATACGCGGCACGAGCCAGCAAATCATGAGTCATGGCACTACGAATTTCTTCAGCCTTTTTCCATGATGTGGCTTTGGTCATGCCGGGCGCAGAAAATTCTGACTCAGGTACAAGAACGAAGGTCTTCATTTTGTTATAAATGATGCAACTAGTGTTCCTAGAATTGGAAGGAGAGCAGCTAAGAATCCTCCTTTTTGCGCTAGAATTGATCGCTTTGTAACGTGTGAAAGTTTCCTGTCGGCCAAACGTTTAATTATCGGTGCAAAGCGACGTGCTCTGGCTAAATCAACTTTACTCAAAGCCATTGGTTGCTTTACCAAATTTAAACAAGCCTCTTCAATTGCTAAAATTTGTTTTTTAGAAGCAACCTGTAAAAAATATCTGCGCTGCCGTGGACTCATAATTTCCAAAGCACGCAGTATACTGAGAACGTCTTCTGGATTCATTTTTCCGTATATATTTTCCGGTAGTCAAATATGTTTGACTGTAGCCTTAACTTGTCAGGTGTATCAGGACGAAGATTTATAACTAAATATCCAAAATGTTCCTTTATAGCCTTTTTGTATGCATCAGATAAATGCGGCATTCCTAGCTGGCGAGAAAGTAGGTTAATTTGTTGTACATCGCGTACAGATTTAAATAAAATTAAATATTGTGAGTTAAGCGAAATATCTCTCATACTTTTACCTTGTTTGTATAAATTTTGCGATATAAAGATCACAGAAACGTTTTTGTGATGCACATCTCTGGTAAATATTGTTGAGCACTTTGGGTTTTTTGATATTTCTTCCATGAGATCATCAAGAATAAGAAGCGTAGGCGCATTTCTATCGAAAAAATTTTCATCTTCCAAAATTTTATCCATTCCCGACAGCAACTCGATGGATTTATCAAAATTATTGAATGCCTCTTGCCATGTACCGTACGCATACACTATCCGTATGGGTGCTGGCGTGAAGTTATCAGGAATACTCCGCAAAAGTTGCATCGTAAAGGTGGATTTTCCGGACATAGTTGGACCAGAAATATAAAGTGAACAAGGAGTTTTAAATCTGAAATCAAAAGTCACTTTTTCCATTTCCAAAAACTCCGTTGTTTAACCGCTATTTGTATGCTTTACCTATGAATAATTTTTTTCGAAAAACTCCTAATTTTTACTGTGAAAAACTCCGTTATCAATTCAGATTTTGGAGTTTTCCGATGAAGGATCTAAGAGTTTTATTATAATTCAAAAACTTCTTGAATTTGCTCCGAAGAAGTACAACCAAGGACTACACAACTACCGGTATGAAAAATGTGAATCGTAGCGTACGATAGCTTTAATTTTAGCGCAGGAAATAACTCTGGTTCAAGTAAACGATTTACGGAAAAGTGTTCAGCTTTTTCGTAAAGTTTTACCAAGTTAACGTTGTGCGTATGTTTGTAAGTGCAAACGGTATTTGCGACACAGCTGTCCTTAATGTGTAACTCTATACCTTGGGTATAAAGCATCATTTGATAGCATTTTAAAAGCGAGTACGCCCCCGCAATACTTTTAGCACTATTTATTATAGCCTTGCCGTGAGGAAATAATTGACAGAACGTTTTGTTTTGCAGACTTAAAGTCACAGCATTCAATCCTTTAACGGATTTTGTATTCTGCGGAAACGATTTCCAAACTTTCTCCAAACTAATAGGTCTGTCGAATTGGACGGATAGAATGACGTTGCGAATATCCATGGCTGCGAGCATTAATTGCGACAGTGTCAACTTGAACCCTTTATATACCTTTCAAGTTAAGACTGACACAAATAATGGCTTCTAAGCCTTTTTTTTTCCACAACAAACAGAAGAGAGTAAATGCTAAGTAAGATATGCTAATAGGAAAAGAAACATCTGGTTAGACAACAACATCGCGACCCCTGTGCTGGATGTAGATTTCCTCCATGAGGTTGATAAATCCCTGATATGGTAGTTGAATAGTCCGGCGAGGTTGAGAGAAACGAATCATGCGGCCGTATTTCGGGTGAATGCTGACAGTAACATCCACACAACCCTGTCCCGGAAGTGAGAACTTTTCAGCACCCTTGTCGATAATGGCTCGGTCCATACAATCCTGCAGTGTGCCGTTTCTAATCATACCCAACAAACAGTTGATATCGGCATATGCCAGACGAACACCTTTGTCCATGGCCTTCTTCAACCCAGAACCGTCCGGTTTGGCATCGAACACTAAAAAGAAGCAAACGTCCTTGGGGTTCCAGAACATACTAACTACAGCGTTGATTTTGTAGATAGTAAAATCTTCATGCACCCCCAAAACTTCCAAAGCCCGTACTAAAGCCATTTTGATGTGAACAGTAGAGCGTTCGGCTTCAAACTAAATCTTACTTTGGAAAGTAGTTACGCTTGAAGACTTACAATGTTGAAATCCCATTGGCGAAAGAACTCGACTGGCGATGGAGCGCCAGTGACGTCATAGACGCTGTATTTGGACAGTATATCAATGTACTTTGTTTCCAAGCGGTAAAGCAAAGTCTCGTCCTGTGCAATTTTCCACACGTCACCATTCGCTTGGTCGTTGGCAAGCGAAACAATAGCCGAGGCGCATTCGTGATGGAATTCCAATGGTAACGGTTGAAAATTAAAGTTCTGAATGGATGACAGTGAGCGACGTAAATTATCCCACTTTAGGTCCTTCATTAACGTAATTCCTTTTTTGGGGATTCTTGCACGACTGTCAGAATTCGCATCGGTGCTTGTGAAACGATCGATTTGAATGACCGTGACCCCGTTAACAGTAATGCATTTCGCCAATAAGCCATTACCGAAATCCTTCGTGAAAGAGGATTTGTCGTGACAACGATCACCGCCAACAGAAACAGGAATGCTGTACGGATCATCACGTACGAAACTGAGAATCTGCAAAAATTCCGCGACAGAAAGTGTCAAGGACTTCTTATAACAACGAAAGCCGATGATCTGAATTTCCCCAGAATCTAGAAACTTTAAATGGAAAGATCCAGAAGAGTAATCCCGTTGTGCTGGCGTAAAGGTTAATTCCGAAAGGTCAAAATCCATTTTTTTTTGAAAGCGCAACTGCAATAACTGCAACAGCAACTAGAATTCGGAATAACTGAAGAAAACTCGGCCATCGCCAGCTTGGATTAGTTAAAGTGAAAAGTAAGAGAGAATGTGGGTCAGCGCCAGTATGGATTAGCCAAGGAACAAAGAATCTGGGTCAGCGCCAGTTTGGATTATCCATTGTCAAATAAGACAGGACGAGACAGAATGTGGGTCAGCGCCAGTTTGGATTAGTTATGGAACAACGAATATAGGTCAGCGCCAGTTTGGATTAGTTATGGAACAACGAATATAGGTCAGCGCCAGTTTGGATTAGCCATCGTCAAATGAGAGAGGACGAGACAGAATGTGGGTCATCGCCAGTTTGAATTCTGAAAACGACGTGGTCTATCTTAGCTGGTTGGATTAGGAATTTATTCGCAATTCTGAACGCCATGGATCAGTACAAAGGCTGTTTATTAGGTGCATTGATTGGAGAATGCATCGGAACACCCCTGAGACGCCCCACGTCTTGTCACATGAACTTGGCGGGGGTGCGTAGCAAGGTCTCGACTTACTGGGAAAAATTCTTAATAACGCACGCTTACGCCAAGTCTCTACTGGATACCGGCTTCTTTTCCATGGAGAATGCCGCACGACAATGTAGCCAAACCTTTTACCACAACCACACTAAGCGCCAAGCTTTTGGTGAACTGACCACCATTATTGCCAGTTGGAAACATTCTCCCCAAAAAGACTGGACCGCTGCGGCTATGACAGTCCGCAACCGCGGAACAGAATGTAATGCCGCCACTTGGATAACAGCGTTTCCCTTGTACTTTTACAATCGGACGGAGCAGATGAGTTTCTCTGTAGACCGTGTAGCTCGGCTCACCCACTCTTCCAATGAAGCTGCCGCTGGAGCACAACTGCAGGCCTATGCCATCAGTCTGGTTCTAAAGAATCCACAGCTGACCGAGCTGGAGTTTCTATCCGCTCTTGTTGAGTACAGCAATAAGTCTCTCCCCGAATGTGTACGTGAGAAATTTTATACACGTATGATGATTGTTTTGGACTATGCGCAACGTGCCGAACCAAAGGAGAAACTGTTCAAAGCTATTGGTGTCGGTACTAGCCCCTTGGAAGCCGTCCCTGTTGCTGTTTACTGCGCTGCTATTGGTCGCCGCAGTAGCTATTCATTCGAATCCACCCTCCACGCTACAATGTTAACTGGAGGATGCACAGATGCCATCGGCATCATGGCTTGTGCCATTGCTGGAGCCTGGTCTGGATTTTCAAGCATACCCGCTGACCTGGTTGGTAACTGGGACGGGCAGGAGCAGGTGTATGCCTTAGCCGAAGAACTGGGCAATTACGTCAGTAAACTTCACAACCCCGACGGGCCACTCAGTACTTTTGCGAACTGGCCACACCTCCTTCCTTCTGCAGGCGCCATGGCAAGAACGGGACTGTACTACACCGGATCTGATGATACAGTTAAATGTCATTACTGTCGATTTACAATGAGCAACTGGACACCGGGAGATCCATACAATGACCATCAGAAATTTAACCGAAATTGTATTTTTGTCAAAGACTGTACTGCTACTCCTGCGTATGTTCATGCGGCCTGATTTGTTTTACTTAAACTTTGTTCATTGTCATGTGAAACAAAATAAAAGAGGGAGGGGAAAAATAAACAAAAGAAAGGGGGTAAAGTACGGTTCGGCCGGTCTAAGTTCGGTTCTGACCAGTTCAATTCTGGCCGATGCGGTTCAGTCCGGTTCGGTTCCGACCAATCAGAGAAGGGGGCGGTTCCGACCAATCAGAGAAGGGGGCGTGTCTGACCAATCAGGAAGGGGGCGTGTCTGACCAATCAGAGAAGGGGCGTGTCTGACCAATCAGAGAAGGGGCGTGTCTGACCAATCAGAGAAGGGGGCGCGTCTGACCAATCAGAGAAGGGGGCGTGTCTGACCAATCAGAGAAGGGGGCGTGTCTGACCAATCACGTGTCCCTGCCAGACCTATTGCCTTACTACTGATACCGGAATCAGTGGAATGTGCATCATATTAACAATATGGTATAGACTTATTATTATTGCGCATCATACTGACAATATGGTATTGACTTATTAGTTTCGGCAAACAAATTCACTGTATTTGTTTGCCGGCACTAATAAGTGGATACCCTGTCCCTGAAACAGGTAGGTCTCAATTCGCGTGAGAAAAAAGAGGCGGTTTCCCTGGTTTGTCTGTTGGCAAATCTCTGGAAGTTTTATACTCATAAATAAAGAATCTTCAGCAAGTAAAAAATTTAGATCAAGAATTGGTGATAATGAGAAAGAAAATCACCAAAAGTTTTCGTAGGAGCGATTGTCCCATACATAGAAATGGAACCGCCGCCCAACACAACTACAACAAAATGTCCGGTTGACGGAATCCCTCCGCCGTCAGTGACGTGGAAGAAGGACGGATGCATCGCCAACATGGTAACTATGTGTCACGCATTGAAATTATTATGACATTAACTCTGGCCTGCTCATAGAGCATTTGATTTATTAATACGACCAATAATTAAGGACAATGGCCCGGTACATAGCGTCAAAAATGGGATACATACACTAAAACGTTCGCTTTCGCGCACTCCGAATCACTTTTTTGTAATACTTTATATCATACTAAAGCTAAATAAAATGCATTTTTAAATAAAAAGTTTAAATGCATTTTTCTGAAATAAAAGTCTGGTTATTACCCAATCTTATTGAAACTTTGCTATAAAAGACACATGGTCATGAAATCGAAAGTGAACCAATTTCAGGTTTCTTAGTACTTTCCCATAATTTTAAAACGAATTTTAAAATTTCGCCCATTTTGGTACGCCATATCTCGACAACCGGATGTTGCGCGCGCAAACGGTTTTCAGAACAATGTATACAAATCATTTAGCTTTAGAATGACATAAAGTGTTACAGAAAAGTGATTCGGAGTGCGCGAAAGCGAACGTTTTAGTGTATGTATCCCATTTTTGACACCAGGTACCGGGCCACTGTCCTTAACAGGTTAGTACTGTGGTAGCACAATTTTGGTTGCTAAGCTAATACATCACAGTTTGTAACTTGCTTAAACGGATCATTTCGTACCTCACAGTCGCCAGACTTGCCACTAGGGCTTCACTGTGCCTTCCTATCTGCTGAATCTTGTTGAGATCTGCACAGGTAACCGTACTTAACCATACATAACTTAGGGTCTCTGTGATAAAACTCTCTAAAAGCTGTAATTACAGTACACTATTTTTTAATGCATAGACAGCAAGAATTTCCCATCTGGTCCTGGCCAGGATTTGTTCATTCGAGCAAATATAATTATTATCTCGGATGAACAAATTGGGGCCTGGGCATATTATGCAAGTGAATGACAGCGGACTTCACCAGTGCACAGCGACAAATATTGATGGATCCGCATCTGTTGGTCACAAAGTTCTTGTCTTTGGTACGTGTGAGCAGTGCGTAACATACGTAGTGCGTGACATACGTGTGAGCAGTGCGTAACATACGAAGTACATACGTAACGATAAATACCAAGTAGTTCAATAACACTAAAATCGAAAGTTACACGTATGCATCAAATTTGAATGGCATTACCTCATAATCAGTATTAACTTACTGCATGCCTCTCCAGACAATAAAAGAGTCTGATAGACGCCTGGGAAAGGGGAAAGGTGTCTTAGAAATTCTATACTTGCTGTCGTCACCCGCCTGGAGTTTAACGTACGGCAGTACATCCGGTTAAATCAGCATAAGCGGTACATAAGTACCATGCTTACCAACAACGTAAAACACGGGCCGGCTGACGGCAGCAAGTACAGCAAGTGCTTGCCCACGCAACTGCCAGCCCCTTTTATATTCGTACGTTGCCACATGGTGATGCTTCAACATTTAAGGAAAATGGCCCGGTAAATAGCGTCCAAAATGGTATACATACACTAAAACTTTCGCTTGCGCGCACTCCGAATCACGTTTTTGGAATATTTTATGTCATTCTAAAGCTAAATGATTTGTTTACATTGTTCTGAAAACATTTCGCGCGCGTAACATCCGGTTGCCGAGATATGGTGAAACAAAATGGGCAAAACGTTTAAATGCATTGTCGTGTACCAAAAGTCTGGTTATTACCCGATCTTCTTGAAACTTTGCTGTAAAAGACACATGACCATAAGGTTGAAAGTGAACCAATTTCAGGTTCTTAGCACTTTCCCATAATTTAAAAATGAATTTCAAAAGTTTTGAAATTCATTTTAAAATCGGAAAAAAATTCTGTAAATCTGATATTGGTTCACTTTCGACTTTACAGCCATGTGCCTTTTACAGCAAAGTTTCGAAAAAGATCGGGTAATAACCAGACTTTTGGTACACGACAATGCATTTAAAATTTCGCCCATTTTAGTACGCCAGATCTCGACAACCGGATGTTGCGCGCGCAAACGGTTTTCAGAACAATGCAAATAAATCATTTAGCTTCAGAATGACATAAAGTATTACAAAAAAGTGATTCGGAGTGCGCGCAAGCGAAAGTTATTGTGTCTGTAATTGTATACCATTTTGGACGATATGTACCGGGCCATTTTCCTTAACACGTGTTTACAGAATCCGGTGGATCTCGCGGGACCCCCAATTATCGAAAGCGGTTATCCAAAAACACCAGCGTCAGGACTGCATAGTCAGCGATATTCGAATGCCGAATTATTAGTGGGGTGCATCAAATATCGCTGACTGTCCAGTCCAGTCCACTGTTCGCTAATTTGCCATTCGAATATCGAGGTTCCATAACGTATCGGAAACAGGCGCAATCGATAAGTATAACACTGTTACCATAACAGTAACGTTTCCACGGTACATTTACCAATAGAGTGAGTCTTTCAATTCACGATGGCGATCGCGATAGCAGGAATAGCACACGAGGTCATTCTGAGAAGGTTTACCATGACATGTACGATGATGATTGCAGTCACAATTGTATTCCGCGAGTCCGTAAATCCGTATATAGCATAGCGAAATTTTTTCACTATCGAAGTGATAGCATTATTAGCATGTGCGAAGGACTACTGTCTACATGGCACACCCCCTTTGGATCCGACCCGTCACCAGACACGATGATTACATTGACAAAGATCTCAAAAGCGCCATTGAATCTAATGGAATCTCAGTCAGATGTGTGTCAGTCTACTCTGGTAAAAAGGGCCGTAAGAATAGTCTGCTTGCACGTGTTGGTTCTTATGCTCATGAGTCTGAAAAGATGTTCACTCCAGAAAACTGGCTTAATAAATTAAAAAAAATGAAAACGTTGTTAGATTCGGCATGCTCAAAAACTGTGTCACATGCATTTTATTTCATAAAAAGATATTTTAACCGTGCCATTGATGCCTGTTCCGGTAAAGCTGATTTCGGTAAAGCTTTCGAAATAACCTTCAGTTTTCGAAATACTAGTGGTACTAGTGAAATTAATAGTAGTAATTGGTAGTAACAAGTAGCAACTAGTAGTTACTATTAGTAGTTAATAATTAGTTGCTTAGAGCATTTTCAGCACATCCGTAAGTGTTATGATTTGCGAATACAGTTTATTCAGTAATATTATCTATTTTCAAAAAATTTACATATTTAACAGCTGCCAGTTTCCGTAATCAGGCTGCAGCATTCGAATGCCTGAAAGAAACATTTTGTTCAGTAAAACTTCCTATGCCATAAAAATTAACAAAAATCTGACGGACAGAGAACGGATAGATTCAAAGCTTGCTCCTCACAATGGCTGGCTTTTCGAAATCTCAGTAATTAAAGCAATCTAAAAATTGCATTTTAATTAGCTAGTAGTTGAAAGCGTTTATTCAGAGATTAACAGTAACAAATCAAATATAACACACACAGAGCACAAAGAGGGACTTTTCAAGTTAGCTGACCTTTAAACTGCCGAGTATAAAGCACACAAAAATGGAATTTTTTGAAGTCAGGTGACCTTTCATTTCCCAGTACAAAAACACAAAAAGGAACTTTTCGGCTTACAAATAACGTTACAGTAGCGAGAAAACGGTGCAAATATACTCGTACTTCTACAGCACACAAAATTTGTGACTTCGTTAGCAATAAATATACATGCTCCCGGATATCAGAGCATCGTGGGTTTCCCAGGATGAGAAAATAAATCTTGACCAGGCTGATAATCTCAACTTGAACAAACAAGATCTTGAGCCTGCAAGTTGCGGCACCTACGTAAATATCGTTCAGCGTTAGTGTGCAGTTTGTACTTTGTAGTTTAAATGTTTCCAATATTTATTTTTTGGGAGTGTTCGTACCATAAACAGAAAACTCTACCGCATAAAAAATTTCAGCCACTATCCCAAACCAACACTAGTATTTTCGATGCGCAAGTAACGTACGAGCCACTCAGAAATCAAGTTAGAATTTGAACTGCGACCATAAGCCACAAGAAACGCGGAAGCGAAGCAGAAGCTGTTCCTTGTAAGATATATTATGGCACATGCTGTTTCTACGTTGCTCGAGAGCTGCATAGAAATCGTGATTTTGGTGTTGCCTGCTGTTTTAACGTAGTAAAGTCAGAAAATTTACACCACCAAATGTCTTTTT